GTAGAGATGGGGTTTCACCATGTTAGTCAAGATGGTCTCCATCTCTTGACTTCGTGATCTGCCCGCCTGGGCCTCCAAAAATGCTGGGATTACAGGCATGAACCACTGTGCCTGGCCAAAGATAGACCTTTAAAGGTCTAAGAATGGTATATTTATCTACAAATATCATGTTTTCCCCTCTGGGCTGGCATGAGAGGCCTGCTTTTCTCCATTTACCCACCATCCTCCTCTGGGTAGCTCCCTGGTCTCCTTGCTCTGGGCTTTTTAAATTGCCAGTTCCTGGCGGAAGCGCCAGTCACCCCCGCCTCTCTTTACTTGGATTCTTCCTCTCCAGCTCTGTTTGATCTTTTCCCCCCCCAACAGTTGATTCCGTCCACTCTAGCCCCGCCCCCACGGGCCGGCTACTTAGGTGCGGTGACTGCGCCAGGGGGCAGTGGCTGATGACGTGTTTTATAGGAGGCCTAAAGTGAAAGTGCTGGCAGCTGTGGAAGGTGAAGTTCAATCCCAGTGTCCGCCCCCTGAACTGGGGCCTTTCCGAAGGAGGAAGCGCTGAAACACAGGGGCCCAGTGCCGTTCCGCAGGGAAGTGTCACTTGTGTTCAGCTGTTCTACACAATGGACTCAGTACCTTCCACTGTATCTTCTATCCCTGCTACCCCGGGGGACCAGGAACTTCTGGGACCCCTGTCGGTGCTTACACAGCCTTCATAGCCAAGCTGCTGGAGGTGACGGTCCCCATTCCCAGGGAGGGACTCCACCTTTGGCAGGTGGGTGGATGAATTCTAAGCAGAGTGGGTGCACTGATTGTCTATGCAAAGGAGAAATGGAGTGTCAGATCCGAGGAAGGCAAGACGTTTTATGCTGTTTAGGGAGTCAGGTGGAAGTGTGTTTGAGGTTTCATCACTTTTTTTTTTTTTTAAATTCAGTACTTAATGAAATGACAGCACTTTATGTTCTGGTGTACAGTCATGATCAAAACACGGCCTACAGGTCTTTTCACTATAACCCACGGCTCTGTTGGGGGATGGGGTCAGTATGATAGTGTACTTGTAGAGGGCGGTGAAAACATCATACAGCAGACAGGTGTTTAATGCACTGTCTTCAAGGAAACATTTAGAATTTAAGCACTAAATTCAAAGCAGTTTATGTAGATCAGTTATCAGGAGCTATCATAATTTACTCAGCATTTGTTGTTTGTTTATGTAAGAGGTGATTTAAGATTGTAAATCTAAGAGGAATAGCACGTTTTTTGTGGTATTCATTATCATAATATTGGTTTTATTTTTAGCCATAAAAAGTTAATCACTTGTATATCTAATGTTTTTTGTCTTATATGTGTTCTTAAGCAACGAAAACCAACTTATTCAAGAGAAAAGTATGATCCAGAGAGATTCTAGCAGTGTTTTAGATAACATATTGTATCAGGGCCTATTGCAAACTAGAAATACATGCTCATCCTAAAGACATTTAGACTCATAATACTTCGAAACACTACAAGCCAAGCGATGAGTGTAAGACTCACAGTGTCCTATTTTTCTTGAAGCAGTGAGAGCTACAGAAGATTTTTGAGGGGATAGGTATCTGACAGAGTTGTTTTAGAGTTTCTATGGATGAGTCTTTGTGACCGCTTTATGTTAAGTTTCTTTAAGGTTTCTCATTATTTCTAACATGCCCTTTTCAGCTACTTTCTACATTGCCTTATGATGTTCAGCCTGGGCCTGATTTTTATGG